GCTTTCAAGTTATCAGACAAATAGAAAAGATCTGTATCTCCTTCTGAAAGGCAACATGGTTTAGAAAGTGAAATAACCATTTCCTTTGAAAGAATTCTATTTAACCACACAGTTTTTAGTAAGGGAGCAAAGCAGGCAGTAAATTGGTGGGTTTCAGGTATCTCTGTGTCCTACAGCTCAAATGCTATTCACGATCATAATTAATTTGTAAATGATCTCATTCTTATGAATTGAGAATTACTTAATATGTCATATCTAGGAGTTTTCCAAGAAAAAAAAGTTTAACAGGATAACATATGCTATTTTAAAAAAAGACTTTTGCGGCAAAACAAATTTGAGAAGCACTGATTAACAAGGATAAAGTGGTTTCTTTACTGCAGGGCTTCTCTGAATCTTTAACATGGTAATCTGTATTGTGAATCTCCACCATAGAGATAACATTTTCCATATGTATTTTAGTATGGGGCTCTTTGAGTAGAGTATGTTGTGAAATTAGAATTCCTTAATACATGCTTTAAGTGATTTATTCAACCTGTGTTAATTCCCTACTAATATCTGTGGCAAGAAGTAGAAATATTAATAACTGAGTAACTTAAGGCAGTCAAGCTTTCTAGCAGAAGGAAAGACCTGCCTTCCTCTGTCTTTGGTTAATGAGGTAATAATAATGAGCAGTACCTATAACACTGAACACTGATGAGATGAAGGAAATCATCTTTTACACCAATAACAAAAGCATATTTTGCCTTGAACAGGTGAGAAAAGCAGGAAATTGGTGGTTCCAAGTATCACTGATACTCTACAGCTCACATCTGCAAACTGCCAGCCACAAGCAAGAGCTCCTAAAGGTGAATTGTCTTTGTGGGTTATACTCTTTCAAATTGTCCCCCCAAAACACTTGCCCACAGTTTGGGGCCTGTTTGTCCTTTCAGGTTACCAGCTTGCAGGTTAATCTGGCACATGTTTAAATAAGAATTACTATGATAGCAATGTTTGTCTTCATTTAATTTGTAGTTTGAGTTGTGTCCCCTGGATATATATATGCTCATGTATATTTCTTATAAATGCTAATCAAAACTGAGAGTGGTTATTCTCACAGTGCCTGCTCTGCATCCTTGGAAGTAGTTGGTAATGACAAAAGGTTAGGATCCATTCATGTATAATGGTTTCTTTTTAAAACATCAGCTAGATTTTTATCCATCATAGACAAGTTTCAAGTCATGTGCATTTGCAAAATAATTTGTTAATACAAAAGGCAATTAAGCAAAACCACCAACCATACACATGGCTATAAGATTTTAACCTAAAATGAAATTCATATCATTTATTTATATGTAACAACAAATGACCACTATAGACACTTGAAATCATTTATTCAAGGCATTTTTACATAATCTTGCAATCATACTATAGGCATATAATAAAAAGAATGTGAGAGTATAAAGAAGAATATAAAGCCAGTGTCTGGGCATTTAAAATAAGAGCTCTTCAAAAAAGTTAAAAATGTTTTACAACTAGAATTCCTGAAAAAATTTGGGAGAAACTAACACTTCATTAAAAACATTACAATACCAAATCACATGTTAGTTAGTTCATAGCGAGCAGTTATATATTAAATGTATATATCCTATGAGCTAAGACTTAACACATTTTACATTCAAGTTGAAATAGTTCAGCACCATTTTGGCTAGAAGGATAAATGAAATGCTTTAAGTGTTCAAAAGTGGCCCAGGGCTTTTGGTAGCTGGGAATGAAATATAGCTATTGATTGAATACATTGATTGTGAATATGAATTCTAAACAAAAAATATAGAAAAAGGTAATTTTTACTTATCAATTATTATACTGTTAGTATCAAAACAAATTTTCTTCATTTTCAAAACAAAATCTCTTCTGACCAGAAATTCAATATTTTAACACCATTTGGTAAGATAGATTCTTAGTGCTATGATAATTTTTCGTGAACTGCATTTCCTCTAGAATCTGAATATTGGGAATGTTTATGAGTGTGATTATTTCCTATGAGGTTTCAAAGAGAAGAAAAATTTGTTGTTCATTATTAAAAATAATGCCTAGTGACTAATTGGATGATAGCAGTTGTGAATAAAATTATGTAAAAATATAAAGATTTCCTGAAAAAAGGCAAGTTATGGATGTGTAAATTATGGTAATTTTGGGAGACTGCATCCTGACCTCAAAGGTCAAGACATCTTAGTACAGACTGTGGTCTGAATAATGAAGAACTAATATGGCATGTGGAAGGCTCACTAAGTTATCTTCCCATTTAGCCCGTTTTTTCACAGTCTATTTGTATAAAAACCAGTCTCTTCAGTACTCAACATTCTTTGTATCATTTGTACTTCTTATTTAAGAGATTTTTTATTTAGAGACTGGATTATGTTTTTACTTTATTAATGGATAAATTTTACCAGCTAATCATTATCTGTGAGTCTTGGTGGTTATTCAGAGAAGAGATACCTTGAGGTTCAAAAATATTGAGTGTTAAATCAATACTTGTAAGTTACTTGAGAGTGTCTGGGTGATTGGAGGGTGGGGCAGGAATATTTATATAAAGAATAAGTAAGAATCTTTACCCTCTTAATTGAAACTAATTTTTTCCAAAATGAGCCAAATAGTATGTGTTATATTTAAAAGGCAGACATTTCAGGGACTGGAAATATAGTTTTAATTATTAATAACACATACATGCATATAACTATTCATTTTTAACTTATTTTTAATAAAATATGATCATGAAAATCAAGAGTGCTTAAAATAGATATTTTTTAGACATGTAATTATTACATTAAGAATGAAATGAGGTGAACCTAATGGGTGGTAATGATATTTTGAATACTTACTGAGGTTAGGGACAGTCTCTTTCATATCCCAGTGCCTAGTATGTGAGTGTCTGGCATATATTAGGCCCTCAAATGATGATAGATGGACAGACAGATGGAAGACCCATGGAATGATAGTAAATATATCTTCTCACATGTATCCAAAGGCCATGATATTGGCTAGTTTTTAGTACAGGGGTAGGACTCTTAATGAAATCATAATCTTAAATCTGTAGATGCCAGTCTGGCTCAGTATTAATACTGACAGTAGTTTTGTTTTTTAAAAAAGCAAGTATATTAAAATATCTCTATTAGAAAAGATTACAGTTTAAGAGGATCATTCTACAATCTTAAAACTAAAGACAACTTAAGGCAAAGAGGTACATCAGAGAAGCTATTCCATAGCTCAGATACTAGCTCAGTCAAAGTTCTGGTTTCTATCAAGCTGTCTGTATTGTCTTTTGGTAAGTGTGTGCCCTGGTAGATGAGGATCATCTGGCCGGCTGTATCTGCCCATGATGACTGTCCATCTCTAGCCCCTCTTCCCGTGCTAGGCACTAGTGAGTGCAGAATGATTACTAGTTGTTGGTGTTGACTTTACAACTCTATGATATATAATACAGGGATGCCAACTCACTTTCCAATTCTATCTAATGTGTCCTGGCACTGGAAATACCTTGCTTGAGATTTTAATACTAGTTAATGGAGGAAAACTTCTTAAGCATCACTAACTTAAAAGTGTAACTTGATTTCTTTCTGTACCTTTCAAATCTAGGAAAAAGAGAAATTCTCCAAATTCTGTTGTGGCACATGGTTTCACAGTTTAAAATAAAATCACAGCTGTCTCATTATGCAACACAGTCCTTGATTTTACAGAAAGTTTTTTTTTCCCTTATTCACCAACACCTCAAGTATGTAATGCTATGTGCTTTGCTAATTTGTATTATATTTCAGACACACATGAAAAAACCATGTATGACTGATTCCTAGATGACCTAGGATAGTGTTCCCATATCCATATATATTATGTCATCTATTCTAGATAATTTAAAAAGTTTTAGACTACTTCATTTTAAAGCTGAACATTTAAAAATTGTAAAAAAGTTGAAGATCCTAAAGATATTTTTCATTAACTTTTCTAAGTATTTTAGAGACAGTTGTGGTTTGGGAGACTTGTTTGTGTGATTTTTACGTCAGCAAGGAAATTTTCTCGGCTAACAGTTTAATATACTTAAATCCATATTATCTCTGGATATATCACATCTATCATCAGAATGACTTTCCCATTGACACGGTTGTCCTACGTATAGCACTCCCTAGAATAATAATTTTAAGAATGCCATTTACAAGGTCTCTGCCCATAGGAAAATTAAAGAGTAGAGGGGAGCATCACCAAACATCAGACAAGAGTTGGGCAGCTCAGTTACTTAATTCATCCCAAAACAAAAGCTGACTTAAGTCAGGATGAAATTGTACACTTGACAGAAAGAAAGAGTTTATCTACTGATTTTAAAATGTAAACATAAATTTTATATAGGGATGTAAGTATCTGAATACATATATTGCAATTTCTCTGCTATATAGTAATACTTCTTGACACCAATGGTAATGTGTTTGTTCCTTCCTCAGCACCAAATGCGTCCTTGTCTATTTAAACAGTAGGAGCCTCATTTCTGCAGTAATCTATGATAGGACATATATAAGCCAGTTACTATTACGGTTCACTGAAGTTTCAGAACTTTAGAAAATTCTCAGTTTAGAGTAATTTTGATTCATTCATTGAAATATTTTTCCCTTTTGCACTATAACTTCAAAGGAGCATAAGAAATTTGAATTTTTTTTGAAAGAGCCAAGTGAGCAGTTACAGAATTGAAACACTGTGTTAATTCACAAAGTAATGTGAATAAAAATATTAAAAATTTCCCAAATAATGCCGATTTAAATGTTCAAAATCCAGTTATGCACTTTGTCATAAAATAGTCCAAACAAAAATTCCTTTGTTGTTTTCTGTTCTCTCTTTAAAAATACATAAATCCTACTGAAGTTAATCTATTTTTCCCACTTCAGAACACCAGGCACTGATTTATCCATTGGGAATTTTGGCTTGCTTTCTAATACCTAGATTAAGAAAACAAAATGAGACAAGTTATTAACCTTAGATAATACCATGAATGAGTACAGCAGACAACTTTAAAGTCAGCCTTTTAAAAAATAGGTAGCAATAGTCACCTTTGTGAAATTATCTGTTAATACATTATTTTCATATTGATTTGAAGAAAGTCACTATGTCAGTAGCAGAAAGTGTATGCCTGATACCTACAGACTTGATGTTTAGAGTTAAAAGTAACACCCTCTGAAATAATCCAAAGTAAAGCAGGATCTGCAGGAGTAGTGGCCTCGTTCAGCTGAGTTCACTCCATGGAGCAAGTGTGGCATGTCTGCCAAGTAGCAGGTTCATGGCCTCTGCACCATCCTGCACTAGTCCTTTCCCAGCATGATTTTGGATGTAGAATGTTGCATCAATAGGCAAACTGGGTCAAAGCCAATAAATCAGAGTCTATTTATATTGTGATCATAGATCCCCATCAAATGAGAATCACTTATTTCTAAATCATAAACCATCAGTTTCCAAATGTTAATTTCTGTGAGAAGAAAACTTAATCATGGTATCTTAGAACTGAACTGAGCCACAGTCACCTGGTTCATATGTTTTGTTTACAAAGAGGAAAATGAGGGAGAGAGAATACATCAAAGGCACACACTTTCTTACTGGGTGGCTTTTACACACCAATAGAATGCTATCAAATATTTGATTAGCATGAAAAACAGTCGGGTAAACTAAGAGATGCTCTGTCTTTAGGAGTTAAAAAAAAAAAGTACAGTAATGTTACCAAGGGAAGCACACATACCCTGCTGCTTACAGAGCCATAGACTGACCACATGGCTTTAGGCACGATACACTCCCTACTCAAGAAACTTCACAGACTCCCCATGGCCTTTAGGATGAAGTTCCAACTTTTTATCTTGCTCTTCAATGTTCTCTTTGATCTGGTCCTAACTTTTCCATCCTTTTTGCCCATATCTTAACTCCATGAAAATTACTCCTTAGCCAGACTAGAAGACTTGCTTTTTGAAACATGCCCTGCAATTTCTTCTTGCCATGCAGTTGCTGGTGTGTTGACTCCTCCCAACGTGCCCTTCCTTAACTCTCCCCAGTGCAGTCCTCCTCAGCCCTCGAGGCTTAAATGCTGTCCTAAAGCCACTCCTGGATCACAGCCAGAGGAAATCGCTCCTTCCTTTGAAGTCTGATCCCTAGCAAGGGAGGCCGGAAGTGAAAGTGAAAATATAAGAAGCTGGCACCACTCTCTGGAAAGGTGAAGGTTTCTTTCTTAAATAAGCCAAAGTTTCTGTACTACCCATTATTTTCACTCATAGGTAAGTGTGAGCTTGTTATTTTATTACAAATCACTAACTATGGGTCCTTTCACTTTCTCATATTTTCATCTTATCAGTATTTCTCATTAAAATTTTATATCAACCATTCTTGAATTTTTATAGTCAGTAATAACTGGTTAAAAAAATGAGACTCTATACTGAAACAAAAAATAACAATTTTTATTTGTTCTACATATCTGGCAATATCCAATTCAATGGATTCTACTGATGAAAAGCAAGACACATTCTATGCAGTGATAGAATCACCTCTCCAGACCTTTTCCTCATAGGAGGTCAGGAGTTATACCTGGGAGTCACCTAGCTTATCTTAGCAGAGGTCCTCCTGTTTCGACTGCATTTTACTATACCCTCTCCATGGAATTTTCATATTGTATCAAAAACAGAGTGTCAACAAATAAATGAACAAAGAATGAATGAATAAATTAAGGAATTATGAAAATTAAGAAAAATTAATTATTCCATGTATTTTAAATTATTTTAGCTTAAGTTACACTGCTCTTCTGGGGATTTTCAGTTTTACTGTGATCAGCCATAAACTCAGTCAAGTTTTCTGGATTGCAGGCATGTTCAGAAGAATATGTTTGATAACCTTTCAGTGCCACACCTTGGCTATCATAGACTACTGTCTCTAATGCTGTCATGACACTTGAAAAGCACAGGCTTTGCTTCTCTATGAAGTAAGGAAAGGCTCCCCTCCAAGGTGAATGCAGCCCAGGCCACGTGGCTCTGTGCATGGAGTATGGGCTGCTGTAAATTCCACCTTTCCCCTGGCTGGCAGCTCCAGTAGTGGGCAAAACAACATGCACAAGCAGGTAAGTTTATATCACCTGGGGGAAGCCCGCAAACTACAAGTTCATATGCAGCAACCATTGTCCTGGTTTGTGGATCAGGGAGAAGTTTCTATTAATTTTAGGTTTCTAGTGTACAGGAAACCCTTCTGCATGATCCAGAGACATGTGTGCCTCTCCCACATCACAACAAAGCTGATGTGTGTCCAGTATCACTCTAGTGGCATTCCCATCGTTGGGACAGTATCACTCACAGGTGGCATATGTAGTTAGAATCTATAACCCAGCAGCCCTAGAGCAGGCAGTGTTTAAGGGGTCAGGGTGGGACAGAGACAAGCAGGCAAAACTACCCAACTCTCTTTAATTATCCTCATCAAAGCATCAACCCTGTAATATTTATGTGCTGAGTTTCCTTCTACGATTTCATTCAAAGACAAATTTTAGGACTAGGAAAATTATGAAGCCACCTCCACATACCCCTCCTTTTGCAGGAATTTCCCTAGTACTTGCAGTGGTAGAACTCAGATATGTGAAATCTTGATTTCTACAGAACAAGTGATCTGACCTCATCAGTTGCACACTTTAAGGTAATGATTTTCAAACTGTACTTTGAAGAAATCTAGGAAATTCTTCAGGGCTCCTTCATGGACTATGAGGAAGAGGCAGGACACCCAACTCTCTGGGCTCCCACAAGGTCACCCACAGTGCATGTTGCATATTTCACAGATTTGGCCACCACACAGGCTTTGGTGGGTAAACAGTGTGTTCTGTGTGTATGCCTTGCCTTGAGAACCAAGTTTTAGGGTGATAAAAACCTGAGTACACCTCCTCCCCCATTCTCTAGCATTATCAAAAAAAAGATCAGCTCAAATTATGTAATAGTTCAGACTCTACCATTTTCTACCTTTGGCCTGTTTTACAGGGAGGCTGCAGGAGTAGTAAAAACAAATGTGTATGATGCTTATTAATGAACTAAAACACGTTGTGAAGAGAATTACTTAGCTATGCAAATAGGACTCACGGTGAAATTGTGCAGCCCGAGGCATATGCATGATGTCCTGTGTAGCGAATTTCACAGCGGACAACATTGTTGGAATAGTCCGACTCAGGCACCAGGTAGCTGGGATTCACACTGACCTAGGCAACAAAAACATCATCTGTGTTTCTGATTTCATCAGCAGTGTTTACTGGTTAATTTTTTCCTATTTCCACAGGGCTAGAACGGAGGCAGTGCTTCAACTAAATCAAGCAGGGAGAGTGTGTAAGTTCACCTCTGGAGAAATTATCAAAGGAGGCTGTATATATTTTCCCCTGAAGTTCTTTCAGCTAATTTGTTTTATATTTCTAGTTGATTTAAGAAAAAAAGTTATACATCTGGAAGATGTATAATTGCTTGCAGGACCATGATTAATTACCATTTGACTCCAGAGAAGGGGCCCATTGAATTGCAGTTGAAATAAATTATAGGTGTATATTCAAAGGTCTCTACCTTTAAAATGTAGTTTCCAGGTTTTACATCTGTAATATCAATCCATTGGCAGTCTATGTCTGCATTATAGGTATCATAGCAGCCAGGACTCAACCCCTAAAACACATAAAATTCAAAAATTAAAAAGATGGTATATGGTTAGAGTATGCTAAAGAATATGCTTATTATTTGCAAATTAAATTTTAAGTTAGTACTTACAAGAGTTTGACATAAAACTATACTTATATTGCATCTCCTTTGAGAAGTATATATTACTCAGCCTTATAGCACCTCCAGCTAAAAAAAATACAGGACTAATATAAGTAGTAGTACATCTCACTTCTTAAAAGTGTCATAAATCACTAGTGATAAATACAATCTTAAGTGACAAAATAGGCCTCCACCAAAATTCTTGAATAATACCAGTTCAGGAATAAAGGCCATGTAATAATCAGCTTGGCTCAAATGTCCTTTTCTCAGTGTAACTCTCCCCAATTTCTCTTCTTGGAAATTATCTTCCCATGCTCTGAATGCCCATGATACTCAGTTTGTGTATAGATTTTATGGTATTTATCCTTCTCTGCTCTATAGTAAAATCATACTATTTAAGAATATATCTAACTAGAGATTGTAAGCGCCTTAAGGAGGGAGTCTATATTGCATTTTTGAATAGCTAACATTTATGAAGTATGTAGTATGTTCCAGAATCGACTTTAAACATGTTACATATATAAATTCAGTTCTCACAACTATATGAGACAGGAGCTGTTATTATCCCCATTTTACAAATGAGCACACTTTGGCACTATAAGGTCAAATAACTCACCCAAGAATATACAGCTAGTAAGGGGCTGAGCTGGTTTTGGGTTTAGGCATTTGGGGTCCAGGGTCCCTGTTCTTAACTGCCACACCATAGTCTTCCTCATACTGTCACTGAAATATTTTGTTGTATTAAAGGGATAAACGTATGCTTCAATGAATGAATGCCACATCACTCTACCTGCTAAGATA